CAGGAATTCGTTGAGGAGGGTGCTGAGCATCTCCCAGCCATGAAAATAAAATAGGGAAAGAACCAGAAAGGACTTGGATTAACTGCTCACTGCCATATTTTCATTGCTACTTTTTAAGTGTCTTTCTCAAAAAAATGCTCACCAAAGCCTTGCAGTCTGAGGGTTCACTTCACCATTATTATTCTGGTAGACAAAAGTATCAAAACTAAGAAATCAAATATGGCACTGCTGAGCACATTCCTTCTGCACTTTAGTTCTGATCTTTTGTGAGAAATACTTTTATGCCAAATTTAAAAGTGAGAAAACACAAGAACTTAAAAGCTGAACCTTCTTCAAAGGTGAACTCCAAAGCTAAAATGGAAGATGAGTCAAGTCCAGAAATATGGTCAGATGTTGCTTAAGTTATATATGAGATTTTCCATGGAGAAATCAGCAGTACCTATATATATTTTGGGCTGTATAAAATTCTGAAGTGCTGCCTGTTGTGTTCTTGCCAGCTAAAATGTGCAGAGGAACTAGATCATAATGCATGGTAAAAAGTCCTTCCCATATCAGCATCAGAGTGAAGCTCTGTGTACAGGATGAGCAGAGAGTTTTGTAAAGACTCAAATGCTGAAGTCTTGGACAGCAGAAATCCTTTCTTTCTGTAAAAAATTCATTTGCAGTCCAGCAGACTGAAAGCTCTTACAGAAATATAGAAGGCAGTGGGAGGGTAATGCCTGTGTTAGATGCACCTGAAGTAAATAACAGAAATGGCCTTTTTTGGGTCTGTCCTCTCGTGTGTTTTTAATTGGGTTGTGCTCAGTAATCCTTCCTTCAGTAACTCTCAGTGTTCCTGTTCTGTTCCAGGGAAATCTGGGCTCGGTTTTTAGCCTTTGAAAGTAACATTGGGGATCTGGCCAGCATCCTGAAAGTGGAAAAACGGAGGTTTACAGCGTTCAAGGAAGAATATGAGGGCAAAGAAACAGCTCTGCTGGTGGACAGGTACAAGTTCATGGATCTGTACCCCTGCTCTACCAGCGAGCTGAAGGCCCTTGGTTATAAGGTGAGTGGGTAAGAACACTTCAGTGCACTGCTGTTCTTTTCAGTCCTAGGAATCTTGAGCAATTCCTTGTTTAGGACTTGCCTTACATCCCTTCCCCTTGCTGGAAAAGCAGGTAAAACAAGCCTCTTCCTCTTCCTCCTCCTCCTGGTCTCATTGGGCAACAAAGTGCCAGGGGCCAAGGGCAGAAAGGAGCAAGGACCATCAGTAACAGCTGCAGTTTTGGGTGTTCCTGGTTACCTCTCATCTTCCCATGGAGAGGTTGATGTCTTAATGCCATCACCATGCAGCTACAGGCCTCCACTTCACACCTGAGCTCCTTCAAAAACCAGAATTCTTTGGGAAATTTGTAGGATCAGGTCATCTGGATGAGATATGGCTGGCTGTGCTTCTGCTCTGAGCTGGCAAAGCTCCCCTGACTTCGCTGGGAACTGCATCAAACCCCACATGCTGCAGTCCCAGTGTTTGCTGTGGATGGCTGAGGAAAGCTCGACAGGGATCAGTGGCTGCCTCTTTTTTCAGTTGTTTCTTAGGGCTAAAGTGCTTTGGGGCTGCCATGGGGAGTTCAAAGTCTAGACCAGACCCCTGTATCTGGTGGTCTCCTGTTCTGTTTCTAACCCAGATGCATCTTTACCATTTCTCTCATTTAACGCTTTGGGGAATCGTTAGAACAGAACAGGATGTTGGTTTGTATTTTTTTAAGGCTGCCAGAGCAGCAGAAACAGCTGATTACCATTTGCATGGACAGGAAGATGGCTCTCAATCCATGCCTCTAAAACAGTGCCTCAGCTTCCACTTACCTCTTACACAGTAAAATTAATTTATGAAAAATACAGATGCCATCAAAGTTAAGAAAGCAGCTGAATTGTTGGCCATCACAGAGCTGTAAAATAATCTGATAGGTGGAAATCAGATTCACATTGAGCCACTGAACACTTTCCTTTGAATGCAGTGGGGGCAATGTTATTTTGAAGTTAGATGTGAGCTTACAAACAAGTACATTTTGCTAAGAGCATGCAGGGCAGTGTGTACCTAAGATGGGGCAGCCCTGGGACTGATTCCTGCTGCTCGGAACATGCCAGAACATAATCCTGTTTGAACTGATGCTTTGCATGCCTGCTGACTGCCTTATGCTTTACTTCTTTTCCAGCTAAAGCAATCTAGGGAGTGAAATGAGGGGGAAATGATAGTTGTGAAGGCCTAGTGGTCTGCACCTGTTCACCTAAATCCTCTTAACCTAAAAAAAGGAGCCGCTCGAAAATGACAAACACGGTCCCATTCAGTAACAGAAAACAGTGTTTCCATTCCCAGCTGGGACACTGTAGGATTAAAATGTTAACTGAAACCATGCAAGTTTTGCCCAGATGGTCTTGTGAGAGGACATCTGAAATGATAATGAAGACAAAGTGAGAATAAGCGACTGGTGCAGAGCGAGGTTTTGTTCTGTAATTGAAGCAAGCAATGTGATCCTGCCAAGTTCAGCGCTCTCTAATTGGCTTTCACAGGATGTCTCCCGTGCCAAGCTAGCAGCAATAATTCCAGACCCTGTGGTTGCACCTTCCATCGTGCCTGTTCTCAAGGATGAAGTCGACAGGAAACCTGAATATCCCAAACCAGACACCCAGCAGATGATTCCATTTCAGCCAAGGCACTTAGCACGTAAGTCAGGCTTTGGGAGGTGCTGTCTTTCACCTGTGGCGAGTCGGGAACCTGGGGGTTCAGCCAGCCTAATCAGAGGCTTTCCTACTCCTCAGTCATCTAAACCTGTACTTAACTCTTAGGCTGTCATTTCACTGGGTTGCTAAAGGCATGTGTGCTTTAATTAATGCCAAGGTCACATGGAAATAAGTACAAGGAGTTTGGGGTCTGGTAATAATCTGTTACACTGCTCACGGAGCAGATCTGAGTGAACAATGTGGAATTAGTAGAGGCAGAGGGGACAGGGTACTAATTACTTGTATCAAATAACAATGCAGTGCAAAAGCAGCTCTGGTCCAGCTGTTTTGCACTGGCTTCACCCAGCTTTTCTTCCCACAGCTCCAGGTTTACATCCTGTCCCGGGCGGGGTATTTCCTGTTCCACCAGCAGCTGTAGTTCTCATGAAGCTCCTGCCACCTCCTATTTGTTTTCAGGTTTGTTTTAAAGAACTCTGAACATTTCAGAAAGCTGTGGAAGACATTCTGTGATGACAGAATCACAGTGCTTATCACTCTATTGAAAATAACCTTCTAAACTATTTTTTTCCCCCTTTGGTACCACATCAGGGTCCCTTTGTTCAAGTGGATGAGCTCATGGAGATATTCAGAAGATGCAAACTGCCAGACAGTAAGTTACTTGTCTTCTCTGGAGGCTGTGCTAGTGCTGCATAAGACTTGGGTTTACATATGGATATTGCTGTCTAAAACCCAGACCTCATTTACAGATTCTAATTAGTGTTTAAGAGCAGAGGAGATTGGGCAGGAATCTGCATAGAGACGTTTGCACATTTACCTGGAGGGAAAGTCAAAAAACTTCAAATCACCAGCTGCTCTTTTAATATGTTGGTATCAATTGAAAGAAAGAAATGAAGATTTTGAGAATACCCTTTAAAGGCAGCATTTCCAGCAGCACTGCAGCTGTAAGATGAAAACACAAATTTGCAGCATGGTGAGGTCATTGCTGGGGATAACTCTGAGTGCTGCAGTGCCTGGGCACAAGCTGCAGGCAGGGCTTTCTCAGCTCCTGCAAAGAAGGGAAGCAGAGTTCTGGAACAGAGAAACAGCACAGATCCTACAGCAGATGATAATATGCTCCTCTTCACCCCCTTTTTTAGTTTAAGGAAAAAAATGATCATAAAGAAATGTAGGATTTAGTTTCTTTGAGTGAAACTAAAATATCTATTTAAATTACATAGGGTATTTCTGCTTCCTCTGTTGAGAAGCAGAAAGTGACTTGCTCTGCAGCCTTTCTGGTGAATCATGAAGTAGTTACCCTGATTCCCAAAAGGCCTTCCTGTTTCACTGAAGCTCACAAATGACCTCGATTCCTGTGTAAAGGGCTCGAGCTGGAGCAACAGCATTTCCTTTATAATTGGTATTCACCACAGCTCAGTTTCAGACAGGCCTAATATTTGTAGAACAGGACAGGAAAAGTGTCTTATGCTGCAGAAGTGTCCCCGAGGTGTCTCTGGGTGTCCCTGCTGGGGTGCTGATGGCTGGGCAGGGCTCTGGGTTGCACACACTGAGTGGTTCTGTCTCTTCCCGAAGCTGTTGACGAAGCTGTACGGATCATCACGGGTGGCCTGCCTGAAATAGCAGTGGAAGGCAATGGACCTGTGGAAAACAACACCATTCTCAACAAGGCTGTGAAGAGATCACATGAGGATTCTGATGACGATGAGGAGAAAGGATCTGTAGTTCCCCCTGTACATGACATTTACAGAGCACGACAGCAAAAGAGAATCCGGTGAAACAAGTTTGGAGTTCTGCTGTGACAGACAAAGACTTGCATTGAATCAGTCTCTTAAAAGTCAAGCATTTAAAAGGGACAGCTGCAAACAAAAAAAATCCTTGAAAATGGTTTTGTTACTGTGGTGCCTCTTCTCCCATATGGTTCTTGATCCGAAAACAGCCCGAACAACCTTAGAATGTGCTCTGAACAAAACTCGGTTTTCAAAACCAAAAGTGCAAAATGTCAAAACTGTATTTTGTTCTTCAAGGGTGTACACATCTACCACTTGAACTCTTGTGGGTTTTCAACAGTTTTATTTTAAAAACTGGATGGCTTATACTTGTGAAGCATTTTTAATTCAAATTTTTCTGGAAAACAGTTGTTCTCAGTTTGTTCATGTAGTGTCCTGCCTTATTGTTCGTTTTTATTTATGGCAGAATGTAAGGAATCTGTTTTGTAGTTGAAAATTGAAAAAAAAAAAACCAATAACAAAACACCATTCCTTTAAAATAAAAGGATATCCATAACATCATGCCTCATTCTGATTTTATTCAAACACAACAAGGTACTTCTTAAATATTACTCAGCCACTTCAAAAGCAATGCTAATTATACCGTCACAGGAAATTGATCAGAGCATACATATTAGAATGAGCTTGGTTTCCATTTTCTAGAGGATACAGCACACTTTGGCTTGTAATTCCAGGACTGTTTGAAGACAGCATCGTGAGACTAACTCAGTTCAGTGTGGGTAGTCCAGGAGCACTGGCTCACACAGCCTGGTCCTGGATACCTGCACTGGTCTTCCACGTAATGTACAAAGCTAAATGTTAATAATCAGCTACATCATTGCACTTGTTATCTTCAAACAAGCTAAAAAAAAACACTATGTGAGCTTTCCAAGCAGTTTCTATGCGTACTTCAGCTTTTAACTTGGAACTGGCTGTTTGGAATTGCACTCTGATAAGATCCCTTGGACTACAGGACAGTCAGAGCCTGGGGCAAATGAAAGCCATTCCCAGCCCAGCTGCCTCAGGCAGGGCTCCTCTCTGCCAGGGCAGGGGGTGAAGCAGCACCTGCACACGGAGATGGGGCTGGCCTTCGCCCTCCTGGAGCATCCTCCTTGCTTTGCCACTCAATTGCATCTCCCTGTTTCTTTTAGAGAGGATGTAGAGTGTTTTGTCAAACACTGGTTAAAAAGAACAACCTGGGAGAACCATTACCATGCTTTGTGGGCATTTATTGCATTTCCTTTAGCTCTTTCCTGTTGAAAGGCCCCCAGCACTTGTGCCAGGAGCGTTTGTTCCTTCTGTGTGGGCCCTGGAGGTGAGAGGGGAGCCACAGGTGAGTACTGCACTCTGTTCCTTCATTCTAGGATATTTCTGCTACATGAAGGCTTAGGCTCAAAGCCCCCCTGAGAGGAGAGATGGGATTCCCTGTGTGGACCCTGCAAGCAATACAAGCACAGTCCCTGCTGCCATGGCCTCACGGGCCCTGACTCCCAGCCCTGGGAGCAGCATCTCCTCAGCTGGAGCTTCAGCCACTGCTAGAGCAGTGCCCTGCACTCTGCCATCAGTCACACACACCCTTCAAGGGCTTCTCTAGGCCTCACCACAATGTTCCTCCCCACACCCTTGTGCTGTACCTCACCTACTGCTGTGCAGGCAGCACCATTGCCTCCAAAGGCAGCTCCTGGCAAATCTCCTGGCACTGCTGAGAGATAAAGCAACAGCAGCCATTTCTAACTTGGGCAGCTCTCAGTTAAGAAAAGTGAACCCAGCTTTGCCTTGGTGATCGATCTCCTGGGCTCTGGTAGCTCATTCAGCACAGGCTGAGGGAGATTGTGCAGCTGCAGAGCTTTAGGCTGTGTGGTGAGACAGAACCTGTTCTAACAGCAAAACCCTGCAAGCCCTGAAGATCTCTTTTAGATTTTAGAATCCTTTGCTGATCCAAACAATGAAATAGACCCTATTCAGAACCCTTCTCTCAGGCTAATCAACCTCATCTTGAGTTCTCAAAGAAGCATTCGAAGACAGACATTCATTTTGCTGGCTGAGTATATTTGGCCAAGAGAAAAATCACTTGTCTGAGCTGATGAACTTTCACAGGGTTTTGCTGGGTTTTCCCCTTGGGGAAGGGGTTTGTAATGATTGAGAAAAGATTTGGTTTAGAGTTGCATAGGCTAATATAGAAAAAAAGGTCTTATTTCTTCCATCCCCCTCCAAACACGAAGTTGGTTCATCTTTATCCCCACTGACATTTAAATGAAACTGGAAAGGGAAGCATCAACAGTGGATCATAATCAAGAACAAGTTCTGTTACTTTGGCTGATTCCTAAATTAACCTGCCTGTTGGCAATACAAGGGCCCCTTTATTTAATTTATTTCACACACCTTTTTGCTTGTTTTTTTTTTTTAAAGACAGCACGTTCTGGTTTGGACAACCTCATGCTTGGGCCACTTACTGTGTGTAACTACAAACTTTGCTTTCATAAAGCCATCAAATATTGATTACTGTAATACACTGTTGTACTCAACCACAGGAAAATTTCACTTACCTCCCAGCTGAGCCTGAGAATGCAATGTAAAAGATCACTGGGCTCTTCTCCTCTATACAACAAGTAGCTCATTAAATTCAAGACCTACAAATATTCTAAGTTTCAAGAACACCTCTACAAAGTGAAAAAAATCTACTAAAATATTCCCTGTATATTCAAACTAACATCAAACCATTCACCTCTCACAGTACATTAAAATCACTTATAGTGCCCACAGTGCTCTGCACTTCCCAGATATTTTTGAAGACATGATTGAATATGCAACCATCTCCTGTTGTAGTTTTTTTTAAAAACCCCAAATTTTCAACCTAAAGTTTCACACACTTTAAATCCACTTTCTGCAAATGACAATTTACTTTAAAACTAGTGTTTCACCTAAAAAGGAGTAAATTACTAGCAACAAAAAGGTAAGAAATGCCACTTTTATCAAAACATTTTAGCTCTGCCCTTTCTGAAATCTTTACAAGATATAAATACAGCTGCAATCTATAAGATTGCCACCTCTGGTAGTACTGTACATAGCAGAGGACAGTTACCCAATAACCAGAAAATTTGCTACAAAAATATATTATGTTTTGTAACATCTGCAGGTAAACAGCAAAAAAATGCTATTAAAAATGCAGTAAAATACAGAAAAAGCCAGTAAGCCTACCATACTCACCATAATGTTACAGTAAAGTGCTGCTTGGCTTGGTGTTTTGTCTGGTAAAGTTCTTCTTTTGAATTTTAGCTTTATTAATTCTTTAAAGTAAGATTTTTTTAAAAAACCAAATCATCCTTTCTGGGAAGAACCATTGCTAATCAGCTGTGGATAAATTCAACTAAATTCACTGTAAATGAAGAGTTAAATGCCCTAAAAACGAGCCACTTAAATACAAAGTTTGGTTCTTAAACTTGCTCTATCTATCATCAGCTCAAAAATCTAAAAATTGCAGCCAGAAAACTCCCATGATATTCCCCCCCCCCAGGTTGCATAATTATATTAGAAATGCATCTCTCATCTTTTACCTCAGGACCTTTTTTGCATCTCCTGTATTTCCCTCACCAGTCACCACTTGTGGGTTAAAAGGAACCAGTATTTACACGGAAAGCTGTTTTCCTAAACAAATATTGGTACAAGTTTTATTTAGTAGCTGACAATACTGTATTGGTAGCACAAGGATTGGTTTTATGATTCTTCTGACTTCCCTACAATTTGGGATTCTTCCTTAGTCAGTATTTTGCCAAGGACTGCATCATAGTAAGGGCTGAAGACCATTCTGTTGTAGTTGACAAGACGAATGTACTTGGCAGCAATCTCCTCCAGCTCCCTCTGGATAGGGCCTAATCCTCCAGGAATGGCAGGCAATGATTTTTGGTGACTGGATGCAAGATAATTCTCCAGAAACTTTTGAATTCGAGAATCTGGGGGGGGGAAAAAAGTGTTTGGTTTGTTTTCAAAAGAGAGGGCGAATTAGAAACAGCATAACCTCATGTAAAATGCAACAAGCCTGAAGCTGGACAGACAACATGAAAACAACATGGAAATGTGGAAACAATGTGGAAACAATGAAAAAAGGAGCCTTGCACACCCCCCAGCCCCAGTTCCACAGCCAGGGAGAGCAGAGCACTCTCCAGACTCACCAATGAGCTTGCAGATGGAGTTATCCGGGCTGGCCACCGCCTGGATCTGTCCCTTCAGCACAGCCTCTCTCTCAGCTGAGAACGGGGTAAAGCCATGCTGGCAAAGGCAGCTGCTCACTTCAGCACACACCTTCTCACCCACGGTGGCCAGGGATTCCTTCAGGTTAAAGGAGCTAGAAAACAGGAGATACAGCATAGCTGTATTACTTACTCACTGTTTTCCCACTTTTAAAAAAGAAACCATTCAATTAGAATTAATTTATCAAATGTAGTGGAAAAAGCATAACACAGATAAAGCAAATTATAAAGAGTAATACAATTATATATACATGAAAAATAAAGCTGGGATCTAAAGCAAGGAAGTAGGAGAACATTCAAGACTTCAAGCCTGAGCAATCCATACACGTAAGAGCTGACTTTCTGCCTGAGGACAGCTCTGACTAAAGCAAAACCCGTAGGTGTAATCACTAAATCTGCAGGCAGCTCACTGTGCCACACTCAGGTTTTTGGAGAGGCTGGCCCAAACTGAGCAGGGGCAGCTGCTGGCACTCCCCTGTGCCAGCCTGGCACCATGAAAAGCACTCTGGAAAAAGCAGCTTGTACAAATCGTGGAAGAGCAGAGCAAGAAAAGACAGCTCTGTGTAAGCTGAAGAACTGTCAGCCTGGGCTCATAGAAAGCCCTCATCACCTCCTCTGCATTTCCTGCAGTCCCCAGCCAGAAAGAGGCATAACCTGATCATTTCCCAGGGTGACACCAGAGCTCCAGCTGTCCCTGAGAGCAGCACTGTGCCATACTCACGGAAGATGCATTCCCGTCAGCAGCACCTTGACGATGGTTTTGATTTTCTCGGCGAATCCAGGCACATCGACGAGTGCTGGGCCTGCTGCACTGAAGGTGACCAGCAGCACTGTCCCCACCAGCAGCAGCTGCTCCAGCTCCAGCTGGATCTCCAGGAAGCGTGTCTGGTCCATGAGCACCGTCTGCAAGGAGGGAGGGAGCCAGCACAGCATGGAGTCAGTTTGCAGGGCTGGGAAGGGACACTGGGATGCAGCAGCAAAGGCACAGGGAACAGCAGGCCAGCACCAGGAGCACAATGAAAAGCATTGACTCCTCTTTTCCAGCTAAGCAGGTTCCAGCACTGAAAGATAAGCACCTATGAGAGCTGCCAGATCTCCCAATCAGAGATCAATGGTTTAGTACTGCACATGTTGCAAGGCTGAAAATCAAAAGAGCTTCTGCTGTGTCCTGAGAATAGAGGAGTGGAACAAGCACAGACCAGTTTTTTCTGTTTAATACCTACTTCTGGAAAAGGCCTGTTCACGTGATCCCACTTCAGGAGCTTCAGATAGGCCTGATTTTGTACAGCAGTGAAGCACAAGGCAGAAGCTCCACCAGTGGCACCATCGCTACGGTGGGGAGGCAACATTTCATGTCCCAGCTTTGCAAGATCATCTGCTGCTTCTTGCAACCACTTTGTGACAAGGTCTAAAGAATCTGGAAGAGCAGAGGAAAAAATCTTGTTAAGAAAATTCCTTTCCAAAGTTAGGTTCTTCCACCAATAATTTCCAAACAATCCCATTAGTTACTATGACTAATTGCCCACGATATCAGGTATGACATGCATTTCATTTATTGCATCAAGCAGAACGTCTAAAACAAAACCACACAGCTACAGGAAATCAGAGGTGAGATGATGCTGGGTCATCATGCCCTATGCTGTATTGAAATTAAACTGAATGGACCAAGGGCAGAACTATTGTTCTGGCAGATTTTTTTTCTAACTATAGTTTTGGGGCACAAGCTGTCATTTACCATATGAATTCTAGAACTTATAAAAATATCTGAGCTCTTTTCATGATCTACAAGCAAAGACACGCAGTTTACTGGGAGGTCAGAGGGGAAGAAAGAAAGGAACAAAGTCATACTTGGCTGTTTCTCAAGAAACTCCTGAAACTTCTTTCTTTCATATTCAGCAGACTGCTGCATTAATTTTGGCCTAATACTACTGACAGCGAAGTTTGCCATATCCATTTTCATTAGGTCTAATACAGAGAAAATTGCTCTAAACAAACAAACAGAAAAAGTTATTCAAGGCTGCAGATGTTTCAGAGGTGCTGTTTACAAGATTTATTACAGATTGTCTAAGGAAAGAGCAAAAACATGCATGGGAAACAGTAACAGCTTAACAACTTCAGAGCATGAGACAGAGAAAGCTGGAGCAAGCATGTACATGCATGCATGTGTCTCTTCCAAGTGGGAAACAAATCTTGCTCTCCTGTAAAAAAGCCTCCATGGAATTAACTTCACCAGCTCCATAGATTTTTATCTCCCAGGATGTGCAATACTGTATATGAAAAGACATCTGGGTTTCCAAGCTTGCATGCCATGGCTGCTGGCAGCCTGGAAAGCCAGCCTCGGTGGGAAGTGAATAATCAGACCCAAGAGGCAAAAAAGGAAAAACAAACAAACAAACACCAAAGGAAAATATTTTAATTTCAAAGCAACCTAATTCCTGCTGGCAATATTTCTGCCAAGTCAATCTTGAACTCCTGGAAGCTTTTCAAATTAGAAAACAGCAAGGTTAATGAAGCTTCTCCCAGCTATTGAGCTGTGCCACTGAGAACATGGTGGCAAAGCAGAAACCTGGATGCTCCCAGATGTGGAACACACACTCCCTTTGGAACTGACAGGGAATTACACAGGGAGTGGGGTAAAGAGAGCTCAAACTGGGAGGAAAGGGTTAGGAAACCAATAATGCTTTTCCCCTGAGCTCCCCCTTGTGCTTTTTTCACCTTCTGCTTTTGACATTCAATTCTGATACAAACTGACTATTCATCTGCTACTTTAAAGCTTATTTGCATTTGACATTTAAGCAAATGTCCTTCAGTGTCATGCAGGAGCCAGACAAATACTCCAACTCACCAGGTCAGAGATGGACCTTGTTAATGACTCCTGGAGCATCTCTCCCCTTCACTCTTTTTCTTCTAGGAGCTGCAAGTTGCCCCCTCCACCCCCCACCTCTAAAATTATTTAAGGGACTCTGAACATGACTGCTAAACACATTTCAGTACCTGAAAAGAGGAACAATTTCATGAATATCCTTCAGTTTCTTAATGTCTTCATCTCGAGCTGGAGCACAGAGAGTCCCCATCATCCCAATAACAAATTTGACCAACTTAGAAATGTCAAGGGCCCCATTCTCTGCCTCCTGTTTTATCAAATCCAGGTCAAGAACTTCTGTAATCTGGCTTCTCAGTCTAGTATGACCAGGCAACAAGAAAGACAGAAGACTCTGAAATTGAAAGTTTTTAACAGTGCATTAGTTCTACACATCAAAGACTATAAGGATCAAAACAGCTACTGAACCACCTCTTACAGAATTATAGAATCATAGGATGGTTTGGGTCAGGAGAGACCTTAAAGATCACTCAGTTCCAAACCCCTACCAGGGGCAGGGTCACCTCCCACTAAACCATTTTGCTTAATGCCCCATCCAACTTGGCCTTGAACACTACCAGGGATTCTTATCTAAACAATAAAATCATTTAATTTATCTTTTTATTTTTATTTTTTTAGCCAACCACTCACCAACTCCAAATGTTTCACCTCATGCTGAGTGATACTGAAGTTACTGAGGGGTAAATCCTCTGTGGCACAGATCATACTTCAGACTGTTATGCTTGATTTTATCAGCCCAGTGTTGGAGCATCTCACTGATTCCATAACTAAAACCAGTGCCATAAGATGAAGGAAGCCTGGAATTATGGAGCTGGTATTGCTTATCTTACATGGTTTTGCATATGGTTTTACATTCAAATTTTTCCCCTAGGATTATACAGCTTGCATATGTTCACAGTGATAAAGTAATGAAAAAGAACAAGAGGATTTTTTATGAAAAGACAAACTCCAACCACTTCTGCCCATTCATATCAGTGCAGCGACTCAAAATCAGTCATTTCCTTTCATATCACATCATCTTACCTCCTTAATTTCTCCCAATAGCTTAATTGCATGATCATATGTCGGGGGGTCTTCCTTCAGCTGAGCTTCCAGACAATCCCAGAAAGCTTTATGCACAATATCTCTGACTTTCTTCTCTAAGCTGTGAATAAACATGTTAAAAGCAATGGTACTGGTCTCTGCACCACCTCACAAAGATAACCTGCAGCATGTAATAATGTGAATATAATGTAATAATAACTATGTGATGATTAACAGAGATCTGTCATTTAAAGTTGCTCAGAAAAGCAAGAAAAGCTGGACACAGGATTTGGAATGGCTTATGTCCTAATACAGGGTTACACATAAGCAAAGGTGGCTGCAAATTAAAATCCTTCAAAGTATTTATCACATGCTACATCTAGATAACTGGAAGAGAACAAAAATGGCAAAAAATATATTTTGCCTTCAAAAGACCAGTATTCATGTTCCTTTTAAAGGCACCACTAAGTAGAATCAATTCCACTACATAAAATTCATTAGCAACACAACAGAAATTAAGTAACTTCCCTGACATAAAATCTTCTGTTTCATACGTAAGTATTTCACCTACTCTGAGATAAGGGCTCAGATCAGTTTGTAAAAAAAAGAAATGAATTCCTAATTCAAAATACAGCTCCTGTTCACACCAGGTGTCACTTCAGCACTGACCACAATGGGGACCAAGTTCCTTCCATGAAATATACACCCCTTTCCCAAATTAAGCCAGGAGGCTCTCAGCCACACCTCACTGTGTGTGAGAGAGAGGAACAGAAGATGAAGCTTCCTCTGTTCTCCCCTCTCAGCAGGGCACACAACTGCTGTAGACACACACAGAGAAGGCAAGACTTCAAACTTGAAAGGAGCAAGGACTAACCTAATAAAACACAGGAATCTCTTCCCAAAATATCCCTGAAGAAACAGACAGGAAAAGCTAAAATAATCAGTTTCATCTTACTCCCACAGGCAGTGAAAGTTTCAGATTTGCTAAAAGCACTACCCAGCAGGCTGGGGCACTGGGAAGCTGCAGATGAACAAGAGGACACATCAGAAACCACAGCACTCTGGGATTTGCACCACACATATGCAATTAATCCAAGGGGCTTTCACACACACATATCTGGGGAAGCAGAACTGTACAGTTCTTATATTCTTTCCTAGCTCCTCCCAGGCACTGCCAGACAAGAACCAGCCAGAGCCTTTACCTGCTCTGCAGCTCTACAAACCCAATTTTGTTTAGGTACCTATTTGGTACCAACCTTACCTGTGTTCTGGCAATTCAGCTGGTTTTATCTGGAAGTCTCCATTCACCACAATTTCGTGTGCCAGTGCCATGTTGGTGACTGCCTTTGCTGTCTCCATGAGCTCTTCTATTGACACAGGCCGAGAGGGAGTGGCTGCAACATCAATTACACTGTCAGACAGTTCTCAGCAAAAGCCTGCAGAAAGAGTCTTTTTGGACCCTTTCCACCTTATTGACAGTACACAGGGTCAAGTGACAGTATCAGCTGAAGATTGTTCTTTCATTCCCTTCCTTCCCTATCTGGTGGACAACACAGGTTTGGAATATTTCAAAAAACCAAGGTGTGGATCCCAGTTGATATTCTGGGTTCAGTATGTCAATTGCTTCTATCAAGCTCTTTTAAAAACCATCTCCAAACTAAGCCCCCCCAACCCAAAACTTCTTTAGGATGATTTAGTAACATCTTGGCATCTTTCTCCACACTGTAGGAAGAAATAATTACAAACAGCAGCATTTTCACCATACTACTTCCACAAGTATTGTGTAGATATTGCCATTTCAGTTTTACATTTTTCAAGGAAGTGATTTCATCATTAAAGCAGTCAACAAACAATCACCATCACTGTTAAGCAGCAGCACACCAGTAGCTAATTATTCTCACTACTCCATTGCAAATGGCACCCCTCCAAACTCTTTTTTCTCTCCCAGAGGCCATCACAGAAAAAACAGAGGATAGCAGCAGTGGCAGCACCAATGCTTAAAGAGCTCTTCCCCTGGCATGCATTTGGGACTGACTGGGATGAGCCAGCAGCCTCAAACTGGGCCTTGGGCTAGTGAAAAGGTTGGTGCTCTGATGGATGCATTCCATTCTGCAGCACATTCACTTCAGCTACAGTTCAGGCACAGGAGCAACATACTAATGCCAAAGTGAAAGAAACCAAGCAGGGTTCTTCATAGGCTGGGCTCCCTGAGAAATGTTCTGGGCAAACTATTATGACCATCTCATTTGATAATCCATGTTGATTGGATTTAAGTAATTACATAGAAAAGGTCTTTCAAAAAGTAAGTGTCCACCACTTGTCTGCCACACAGAGCCCTTCTGAGTTCATACAGTGGGGTTCCAATGTGCTTGTTTCTCATTAATATCTTGCTCTTTTCATGCAGCCCTCCTAAATCCTTACTTCCTTCTGCTTGGAGCTTAACCTTGCAGAGTGACTCTGGGAACACAGCAAGGATTGATATTCTGAGAAGAACCAGCAGACAGCAAAGTTCACAGTGCTCTTGTCCAAGTGCCAAATGACTTCACTCCAGCAGTGGGGGCACTAAGAGCTCAGACTCTTTCACTGGCCAAAGATTGCTCCTAAATCACATCACTTCATTCTCATACCTGCTCCCTTACACAAGGGAAGAGCTTGAGACCAAACCACTTCTTTGTGGTACAGTGCAGTGCTAGACTGTGCCATGCTTTTTACTTCCACGTGTTCAGAGCTTCTCTCCATACAAACATCCCATTTCCCACCAGGCAACCAGCAAGGCATAGGAACAAAAACTCCCTCAGAACATCTCCTCTGAGTAACATGACACTAAAACACAGCCCGAAACCTCAGGTCATAACGAACACAATTAAAAAATAGAAAGAATGCAACAAACTAAATGTTACTGCTGAGCCACTCCCTACAGAAATGTAGAACCCTGAGCACTTTGGCTTCTTTGAATTGAATCCCTGGAGCCAGAGAACTTCCCCTTGGTTTTATCTACAGATTTGCCAGAAATATTGGCTCCCATATTGCATCCAGACCTTCATGTTAAAAGCAGAATGCCAAAGAAAAATCTGCCTTAGGAAAAATAAGCAGTCCTGCTTACATGGAAATAGTATTAGGATTAAATATACAACTTTCCATCTATCTTGTGAGGGGGCTGACAAGACTTGTCAATTTATATTTGTTAATAACAGCTTTTTCTGCCCTGCAGTAGGAACAGGGGCTGCAGCAATGCAGAAGGTTCAGCTGATAAGGCAACAGCAGAGACAGTTGAGCTGGAACACACTGGGGTTGTGTTTATCCATTCCAAGAGGACAAACACACCAGGATATTTAGGATATATGTGGCTCAGAGCAACGTGGTCATTGTGTACAATTAAGAAAATGTACACACTGTGTGTACAATTAGGGAAACAAAAAGAAAACGGGGAGAGAAGTGTTACAGTTTCAAGGCATATCATCAAGAGTCACACTGCAATTAACTGCAAGACAAACTTGCACAGAATGCTGTGAAACACTAGGATTGCCTCCAACAACAATTACAGAATTTACCATCTTTCTACTGTATTTCATAAAGCAGTTTTGCTTACACTTTGGTGTATCATCTCTGTGTGACCCTGGAGCACTCTGTCGTATTCTTTTTCGGACAGACTGATCCGAGTTGTCCAAGTTCTCGTCCTGATCATCCTCCAAACCACTCAACTTTTCTTCACTTGAATTTAGCTTGTCAGGATTCTGAGACATTTTCAGGTGGTTCTTTACAAAAAGAAAAAAATATGAAAAAGGGAATGAATAAGCATTTTCTGACATGGTTGAGTGGGTAAACATCACCACAAATCCTCTTGATTAAGAAAAAAATAAATTAAGAATTAAAGAATAATTAAGAATAATTCTTATGAGGAGTTGTATGATGTCATCCCCATAATGGCAGGGGACCTGGACACAGTGACTCACTTCCCATCTTCCACAAAATGGGATGCTTTCAACACAGCTACCATTTATTTAATCTGCAGTCCTAGTCAGTTCTCGAAGATCTCAAACTGTTCCCTTGCCACAATGATAGAGATGAGAGAAAACGATATTGTTTTCTTTCCTAGCACTGCTTTTAGGAGAAAGATGAAAAACACCTTCAGAACAATATTACAAACGTGTTTTACAAAAGATTATGAGACATTTCCTTACTACACAGCAATAAATCTTCCTGAACATAACATATTCCTGAACTATGGCCTGCCCCAACTGCTCACAACTTAAAAACTTCCCTCTGAGCCATCCAAAAGCAATAAGAAGCAGCAAAAGAACTAGAGAGAAATTAATATAAAATTATATTCCCATGTTTTCATTATTCAAGATTTATTTATGCATAAAATATCACAGTTGTTTGGGGTTTTTTTTTAAGACAGTAAAGATCAGTTGGAATAATTAAAATCCTGCTTTATTAGACATTACATATTAAAGGATATTAATATCACATTGCAGATACCTGCAGTGTACCCAAAGTTACATTGAAACAATTACCAGTAGAAAAACCAAGTCTCACTGTTCCTTATCTTCACTTATTTCATTCTCAGATTTCCCTATAAAGAATGTAATTTCTGCATCCACCATTGAAAACTATCATGCAGGAAGCTGCTGCTCAGGCTTTAATTTTACAGAAATCTCTCTGAAAGCATATGATGTCTCTAAATTAGAATAACTTAAGATGTTCTGTGAAGTGGGAGTCCAGAAGAGTGTGCTTTCAAAATAAAAAGAAGCTCCTGGAAAAACAAAAACTTCCTCTTTCCCCTAGTATCCCACCATCCCCACATTCACATTCTGAAATAAACCAAGTTCTCAGCAAGAGAGACACTCTCCAGGGGCACCTCACAGCTACTGAGAGAAAATACATCATCAATAACTGCACTGAAGAGGATGCAGCAGAAGCCAGCAACAGTGTAGAAATATAAAATGCATCACTGGGATTTATTTTCGTACAACAGCTGTAATAACTAACCCTGCTCCACCAGTGCTGAAATTGATTGCACAGTGTGATTCCTCAGGACAGCTGGAAAGCTCAGGGCATGTAAGGAACAGTTCTGCTCTACAGCAATGACTCAGGATCATCATCTTGCTCGATGCATGAGAGACAACAGCATGCAACACTTGCTCACAGCACTGTGTCATTTCTATTTTAGAAGTGAAAACAGCATGAAAAGCTTGGGATAAATGACACAGGAGAGCACCCTCGGCACACAGGCATCAGCACAGGTACTGTTAGACTCACTCCAGCTCTAGATGAAGGATGATGAGCTCTGTTAATAAAGGGGCTGTTCACAGAGAAGAGCATAGCAACCGTTGCAATGTAAAATATAAAATATAAAATAGGATGGTTAGAGAGAGAGAGAGAGAGAGAAACCTGTTGTTGAATTTGGCTAGGATAAAAGCTTTATCATACAGGCTTCCACATTCATTCCAGACTAGATGGTCTCTCTTCCACAAAGCATCCTCCTGAAGTCAAATCTGAGCCACAAAGATGATTCAACCAAGCCCCACTTAAGTCTTTAATGCACACAACACTTCCTAGTGCCTTGCAATCTCTCACTGCACTTTATCCTCACTACCCTGAGAAAAGCAGAGAACTGTAATAAACCTTACTTACAGAGGGGAAACAGAGGTTTGAGTTCAGCTGCTTGAGGACTCACAGAAGATAAATGACAGGGACAAGAGCATCAGTCTGATGATTCCTACCCCCCAGCTTTGCCCAGCAGGCCATCATTCCTACCACACAGTCTACACCCTAAAGTGTTGCCTTCCATAAAATGGCAGCTCAAGAGTTACAGCCTCAAACCCAGCCCAAGTTTCATTTTCATTACCATTTGTTTTAGAAAAATCCTATTCCAGCTATGGAGGGGCAGGTATTAGAAGTCCCGGGCCATTTTACCAAATGACTGTTCAGCAGATGAGGTAAACAGGCACGCTTGTTGGTTTAGTTGTTTAGTTTGCAATAGTCTGCTCTTTTCTGATGGATTACTGCTATTATTGGTAGAACACATCTAGAACATACCCTCTTTCCACCGGGTAAACAAGCTTGACAATACCTCTTCCAGAAGGATGATCATCATCCCTCCTTTCACAAAGGCAATTCTGACTCTTAATAGAGCAAAGTCTACTTCTTGGCACTTTCCTTGTGTTTATTTTTAATGAAAACAGAAATGCAAGAAAATTAAAATTTAAACACAACACTTTTCCACATCTTTTTTTCATTACAGGTCCTCGAATCATGTGATGAGCACTGAACAAACTTCGCTGTGCTCACCTGGAGCACACAAAAGGTTGGAGCAGCTGCTCCTGGATCCCACTGTATGAGACAGCAGCCGGCAGCTCTCCTGACCTGCGGCCCCAGCACTCCGGGCTGCCTTTCCTCAGCTCTTCCCTCTGCTCACCTGCCACAGCACAGCCTGCTTTCCCTTGCAAGCCGCTAGCAGGCAAGCCGCAGCCTGTCCCCCGTCCCTCTTCCAAATTAAAAGGGGAATTCCGCTGTGAAATTCCGCTGTTTTCCCTCCGCTCCTGTCCTGCGTGAGGCCCTCCCAGGTCCATCGCTACCGAGAGCACACAGGGCACCGTCCCCATCCCCACCGGCCCGGCAGCAGCGCCGCCGCTCCGGCCACGCTTTCCCTTCGCAAGGCCCGGGAGCTCCGGGCTTCATCAGTGGGCTTAGGGGAGAAACGAGCCCGGGGGGCTGTGGTCGCTGGGCCGAACGGGAGGATGCGGTGCTGAGCCCGCCCGGCG